TTGTTTAACCACACTGCCAATTTTTACATTGTAAAGATGGGTGTGCGATAGACTTACCTCCACGTGGTGCACCCTGGGTAACGTATATTCATACGGCAAAAAAGTCTATTAACTGGCAGTTGACTTCTCATTTCAAACTACTATCACCTCACTCTATGCCATATTCGACTATTTCCACAGTACCCACCTCACCTTTGTTCTACCTTTGTGTTTGTCTCTTACATCTTTGAAACACTCTTCTGTTCCCCCCCCCTCTCGACTTTTTTCAATTTGATGTTCCTTCCCCTCTGTGAAGCCTGAAGTCAACTAAAGGGCTAATGATAAATATCATAAAGACTGTCATTTGAAATAAATACATTGTAAAGATTGTCATTCAGGCTAAGTATTTATTACAAGCATTTAGCAAACAATAAAGAAACATATTACGATAAATATCCTAACTAAATTAATTAGAGTATTTCTAAATAATAATAATAATAATGTTGGGAATAATATTTTAGCAACAAAATAACGAGGTGGAAAAGCAATAAAGATATTTTCACTAATAGCTGGAGAGAAGCCAATCAGACACCAATTCTCCCATGATGGGAAAGAAGCATTTATAGAAATGAAAAATTAAAGTTAAGTAAACAATCAAAGTAACGAAATATCTTCGAATTGTAATACGTACATAAAGCTAAAGGGAGAATTAGTAGGTGGTGTAATATGTTTAGGGATTACTTATTTAGAGAAAGTTAAAGCAAATTACAATACGAATAAGCTATTTATATGTTCAAAAAATGAGCAGATATTTCCAGGAATATAAGAAAGAACTGAGAAGCTGCAAACGATATAAAATTACAGAACATAGTTAAAAAAGGTCAGAGGATGACATATATCTTAGCACATAAAAACATTTACGTCTCAGACCAATTAGAAAAATTTACCTAACAATTTTCGATAAATAAACATTGCAGAAACATGATGAAAACTTACACGAATATCACGGATAATGCGAGGATAAAGTTGTTTATAAAATCGATGGGCAAGCAACATTTTTTCATGAGAGCAAGAGGCTTCTGTGTGGGATAGTGAGGGAGATGGTGTGGACACAGCGTCAATAGCCGCTGAGGTGAGGGATATTGGCACAGAAGAACTCCAGTTATCACCAAACGGAGTCGGATGAGATGGCTGGCCATTTTGCTTTATTGGAGGAAACTCTAAAGCCCGTTTTAATCCACCCTGCCCGCAACTAAGTTGAGACATTCTCTGTTCAAGTAAAGTGGAAAGAACTGATGGATCCACAAGTTGAACAAACGTTAACCAACCACGGCGTTCAGCCAGTCCTCGCCAAACAACATTGGTCTCCATTTGTCGAGCGATCAACTTTCGCCAGAGCTGAAAACGGACTACAATCAGCTGCCAGGATTTTGACACTAATTCGACCGAGAGAAGTGAACTGGCATCAAGGTAAGATAGAATATCAGCTGAAATATTGGGAACACCACGAGATGGAAGTGCCGTAACAATGTCACACTGAAGAAGAGGTTCCAATAATATATTAATTTGAGAATGTTGAGCGTGGGACATGCGTCGGAGTAATTTACAAAGAAAATCCACTTGGTCATCTTCATTCCATTGTGAAAAAGCTTCAAGACAACGATTCTGATCAGCAGCAACTTCTAAACGATTTTTCTTTTGGGCTGTAACTAGTTCCATCCCACCCACTGAAGAACGCTTTACACTTACAGGAGTAGCAGGTTGAAACTAGAACAACAAAATTACAAAGTAATTCCGGACAATCGTAAAGAAAACCACAGACAAATAGAATATAATCGTCAGTATATAGCTCAAAAGTATATTAATATGCATAAAAAAAGCAAAATTCTGTTACGGATATAAACCAAATAAGAGTTATTGTTGTTGAAAATAAATTGGTATCACTAGCACAAAAAAGCAAAATAATAAATTTTTATTCCGTTAAATAAGCATGATGTATCAATTACGCTATAATAGCCATCATTTTCATTCAGAAAACGTGCATCTCCACCATCTGTTGGCATATCTCCCATTTTGAAAGACAATCAACGAATATTAAAATTCGCACTGTTATTTGTGATTACTATAAGAATATTGAGCCTGCACAATGGAATTTAAAAAGAATTAATTTTGATCAAAATTTAGATGTAAAAAACTTATTTCAGGATTTTCGGTTATATAAATCGAAATAAAAAATTGGGCATATTAATGGTAAAGGCCGCAGTTAGTCTCAAATGTCCATTTTCTACATAGTAAAATATATTTTGCATTTAACTTCATTTGGAGCTTCTAAATTGAAATCAACCATGAATTTTAAAACAGTCTTTATACAGTGTTCCCCTTTAACTTGATTTTCAATGTACCATATTCTTTCGTGTATCAACATTTTCTAAAAATATGAAGATATGTGTGACAAATAAACCTTGAAAATAACAGTACACGTGTATTTCGACTTTAGATATTGATATTATTCTTTTCATCTTGTCCATTGTGTCTTTCTTTTTAATTTATTGCACATATTTCTCCACAAGTATTTTTTTTTTTCAAAGTTATTATGCGGACTAAAATTGTTAGGACTTTCAAGTAGACAGACTTCTAGATTACTTGTATTAGATTGCATAATTTTCATAACGTTATTTATGTCTTTTACTGTATTGCATTTTAATAATTCCTTGGTCATTCGGATCCTTAACAATTTCAATTGTCGACCTTCTTTTCTCCACCTAATAATTGGTTATTAGGCTTTTTTATGGCTTCCAAAATATTACAATAATTTAAGTATATCAATCTGTTGACATCTATTCTTCCGCCACAATCCATTCCTAATTAAGCATCATTTTCTGACGAGACCTTTACCCAATCATAAGGTATACAGCACTGAAAGCGTTCACATGTAAGATAACCACATTCATGGACGTACGACGATGCTGATGCTCTCAAAATTATTTAACTTAAATAATGATTTTGGTACTTCTTTGTATTTAAATTTATCCCAATCTCACGTTTATCTCTTATAATCACCTAGACACAAATAAGCACTTTTGGTTCAAAAATGACTTGGTTATGAAGGCATCCTCTATAGGTTGTCAAATTATTCACATTAATGCATGAGCTTTGTCTAATTTACATCCATGTCTTCTAATTTTGGAGATGACTTCTATACGATTGGAGGTATTTATAAATTTCCGAGGAATATAATAAAACTTGTTGCTATATATGATATTAGAATACTTTTTCAAATATCGAAACATGGCAATGAAGACTGATCTAAGCTTAGAATTCCTCTTCGTAACCTACTGCTATTCATAAGCGCCAACAGCATTTATCAAGTGGGACCAAGGCTTGACTTTGTTTAAATATGCAGATCACTATTTTTAGAAAGAAAATGACGGAACCAAATGAATGAAACGCTCTTTACGCTCTCGATAAATTTCTTGGGATTGCACTATTTTTTTAGGACTTGATTACATTGAGGTGAGAGAGATCTCAGCTAAACATAATTTTCGTTGCAGTTTGATTTCTTTCCATCTTTTAATTCCAGTATTTGTTTATGCTGGTTATAGTCATGGAAGCAGTTGAAATTCTTATCATATAAAGTACACATTAAGAGTGGTTGCATGATTAATTTCCTTTGAACACGCTTCCTATAACACAGTTGTGCTTTAACTTAACAAAATTCCAAGCTTTCGGAAGGATGACTGTTCTAACATATCAGCCTGGTAGATTTGTCCTTTAGAAAAAACTAACAACTTTGTTTTAACTCCTCTTGGTTTGGCCATCGAAAATTAAAACAGCTACACAGTTTGCTACTTAGTTGCAAATTGAGCAGTTGTTTATCCGAATCGTTTAATATTTCCTACCTGGAGTTGTTATCTTGTATTTCATTTCTGCAATATGACGTGAAAAATGGCAATAGGATAGTCGGGTGAATGCATTTTTATCCTCGCTCAGAGATAAATTGTGCCAAAATTTTGTTAGTATTTAGGTGACAGCTTCCAAATCCTCTGCGTTATCCCAAGATTGCCATATGAGAGAGTATAAGAAAATCCTCAAACTCATCACTATGGATTTGCTCATAAAATTCCAAATATAATAATGATGTTATTTTTTGCAGAAAAATTTACTAGCAGGTTCGTTTTCAATTGCATTCTTTTCTTGTGCTTTAAGAGCACGCCATTTATGGTGTTGCCTTCGATCCAATTTTTTTCGGAAAAATTAAGTTCATTTCTCAGCACCCGCATCGAACAAAAGCACACGACATTCTGATACTCCTCTTTCTCACTGGGAAATGGCATGTCATCACCTATTCGCTTGATCAATCTAATTACTTTCCCAGCCAAATGATATGCAGCAGCATCAAATAAGCGGGGTTTTGCAGTATTCAATAGCATAGCACTCGGGTAAAGCAACCTAATGAACATGTTCAATATATTAACTATTTTGGAAACCCGAAAGTGCTAACATACATTACCAATAAGCACTTAGGAGTATTATAAAATGAAATTTCTGAAAGCATCAAAATTTCTCCCACTTATTTATCACTTTTGATCGACTACCAAGTTCTATTGAGAAGGATATACTTAGATTACTAATTTCAATATTTGTGACTTTTAGACCCTATTGTGATTGTAGTTCACATTTAATCGTGACAACTTCGTCAAAGGTCGTTCAACAACGATATTTGATTTGCATCAACCCAATAAGCGTTTTGGTGAAGTTACTATGTGATCTGCACTCGGCGAGATTTTCCCATTAAGCAAAATTGCAAATTTTTATGCATCGAGGCAGGACGTACCAGCAACTAGAAACCGATCTAAGATCAAGTTTGATCGCAGAACCCAATCAACCACCTAAGCAAGTATAATCTCACAACTATTTCTCCGAGGCTTCAACATAAGCATTCCAGAGCACTAGTTTACTGATCCAGCACAACATATTCTGCTAGATGATCGATTAGAAAATCTTTATTGCCACTTAACTTGGAGTGTGTCGAAGAAGCAGATAAGAATATCTATTGCTTTTTGATGTTAACTGAAAGCGGCAACTCCCCAGCGCATAGCTTGACAGAAGAGTGCAAGAAGCATCACCATAATATAATTGGAAGAGCGATTCGAATGATCGAATGCCACCGTTTCTATCATTATAAAAGATTGAAACAATTTGTAAACTTAAATAAAATAATAAATAATTCATCTGTTAAGTCAGGCTAGACGTTTAGCAAAATGGAGGAAGAAGAACACTAATACTGCATACAATTTATGTCACTACTTTCCTATATTACAAAGAAGTCATGGACACATCACAGACACTAGATAAAGGTAAATAAATTTATCAGTCGACGTCATTTATATTTTCATCTGAGAGTGACCCAACAATTTCCTCAGGAGACGTGTCAGGGACTAAGGGAACACTCCAAAGATTGATCTCTCGATCATCCCCGCCCGTGACAAGGAGATAACTAGGAGCCCGGTCAACAGATTTCATTACCCACCGCTTCGACCGCCAAGAAATACTGTTTACATCCGCTTTGTGAGCTTGTTTTAAACAAGCACGAAGGCTCTCACTCACAGATGAGCTTCCTTCATTTGAATACTTTAATCCGAAATCCAGACCAAAGATAAAAACCGCATTATCTCCCCCACAAGTAGCCAAATAGCGTCCACAAGGTGACCAACTGAGATCAAATACAGGCCCACAGTGATAACCGGATAGAGTTCGGAGACATATCCATCGCATTGACTTTTCCATGGGCAGCTCCTGCCAAAGTTTGATTGTTCGGTCCTCACTTACAGAAGCCAAATAATCCCCATTTGGTGAAAATTCTGCTTTCCAAACTGTTGATTCATGACCAGCTAAAGAAAACAATTATGGGCAAAATGAAAGGCCTACTTATTTTGCACACAACAGCCCAATCATCCAATTCCTCTTTGTACAATTTGATTGAATTGTCATAACTCGTGGAGCCTAAGAGCTAAAGAAATAATATCAGAGTTAAAAGATAACTCTTAAAAACGAAAGTATACGTTTTGAAAACGAGCATACATCTATGATGGGGTGCCAGAAAACTGACTTAACGTCAGCATCATGAGGTTGAAGAACTCCGGTGCATTGAACATCTTCCTCATCATCGAATTCCCAGATCCAAACGCTCTTATCCCGACCGCAGGTGGCAAGAAGGTAACCAGAACGAGACCAGGCCACACACTTAACCTCATTGACGTGCCCTAGATTAAAAGCCAAAAATTATCGACAAGAAAGGAATGGCGAGCATATAAATTATCCAAAAATTGAAATGAAGCTTTACCTTGTAGAACGGCAACAGTTTGTAAATCAATGACTCCGTCAGTAACATCAACACGACAAATAGCTATGACACCATCAAAACTGGCAGTCGCGAGATATCTGTCAGTCGGTGACCAAGAGACACAGCGAATGGTGCGCGTATGATTTTCGTTAGATGAAAATGCATATTTCCAAATAGAACCTAAAGGAAAAACACCAAGGGATCTTAAAGGAAAGGATGAATGCTGCAATATAACCGGTTAGAAAACGCACCTTCAAGAACCCATAGACAGAGCAATTTGTCCTCACCACAGGATGCCAATACTGTGCCTGCATTATTGAAAGAAACGCACCAAATTCGCTCCTCGTGATAACTCAATGTCTGAATCTTTTCTATGTCTCGTAGAAAATTCTCTGCTTCAAAGTTAAGAGAGCGATATAATTCAATGAATGAAAAATCCAAAATAAATCACAGACATAATATCACGCTTTAAATTAATTTCTCAAGACTATAACGTAAATAAATGTAAATTAGTTTCTGATTTAGCGATAAACGGAGCCTACACATGATTGAGTGATAAGTAGGGTTTAAAATAGACAGGCTATATAAGATGTTTGACAGACCTACCTCTAGAATATTTCATTAGTCTCAATTCTTTAATAAATAAAGACATAACCAATATAACCTGTTACTATATCTCAAATAAACAATGAAGGAAAGTATTTTAATTAATTTGGCTTTCGAAAACGATAACTTATGACGTTTTTTTAATACTAAAAGCAAAATCAGGCTAGTTTCCATTCTTCGCATATCAAAACTCATGAATTACTAAAGTTATTTAATATCTAGAATTCGATTTACTGATTTAAACCCTTATATTTGAAGTGAATTTCCAACTCGAACAATATTACTTAGCAGAATCCGTATAAATCCATCTCCCGAAAGCCAATATATTTAAATTGTCTTTGGATAATAGTAACCAAAGTCACCTATTAAGGAACTACAAGTAATATCACTAACCTGCACTTAAGAACACCAAAAATAGTTCTATTAAGAACGTAAGGAATTGTGTGAACCAATGTGTATTAACTCTTTTGCACACTTAGTAACATGGTCCTCTTTAAAATTAAGCATCATTGGTGCTAGACTCGTAACAGAAGGCGCCATTGCCGTTTGAAATACTTCCAGTATGTATATAGCCTTCTCTTTTACAGTCAGAAAACATAACATCGGCAATAAGCTGTTGTGAGGCGCGTAAGTATAGTTGGGTGCGCTCTCCAAGACATAATTTGGACTTCGTAGTGTTGAATAAACAGGGATGAGAATTCGAGAGAGTAAATTGGGAGTGAAATAACTTTCAGAAATAGAGGATGACGGAAGGTACGACACTGGCAGTAATATAGCAGGCATCCTTGTGCTTGTATGTGGAAATAAAAAAGAAATTACTGGATCACTTGTGTAAGGACACCCGTGATTGCGTGGAATGTGCTGAATGTCTTTAGAGCCTTATTCTCCTAATGGGTAGCAAATAAAATTTATTGCAGTTAGAAAATACAGAAAACATCTTTACCTATCTTTCCCACTTGTAAGATATGGTCAAAAATTTAAGGGAATAAAATCAATGTGATAGATCCATGTTGTAATCCGTTTTGTTGATCCTCACAAACATTTACAAACCATTCCGTACGAAATAAATTGCACTTGAGAGGAAGTGGGGACATTATGAGATATCTTCGCTAAAGTAATCTTACTTATACTGTGCTGGATCTTTTCCATTGTCTACGACTAATCATAAAGCTTTCTATCAAGAAAAAATTAATTCAGAGAATGTGATTCAGTCTATTTAAATGAATACTTTAGGAAGTGAATGATTATACCAGTTGAATGAATTTAAATTTTAAAGTACATAGAAATTGGCTCTAATGAGCATGAAATTCCAATAGGATTTTCATTTCTCCAAAGATAACATTGAAATTTACTGTAAGTCCAGCATTACTACATTGCCACATGTAAGCTGGAATATCTTAAAACTAAAGGACCTACAGATAGACAGAAATGTGAAAGCTAATAAATAAGCACCGTTTAGCATCAACTATTGAAAATCTATAAATAATTTTATGTAACTGAATCTTATTCATTAATATACATATAACTAATCGAAAAGTTTATTTAGATGTAACTAGTTTTCTTGAAATTTTCTTATTATTAGGACTCGCTTGACATAAAAAATTATTAAATTTATTGAGAAAACAAATTATACACAAAATGATTTAGTAAATGTTGTGATCCTACTTAAATATTTCACAGAATCTCATACATTTTAACTATAGTAACTTATAAGTGCATGCAAGTACAAAAAATTTTCCCTAGCAGAATAATTAATTAACTAATAGTTATTTCATTAAATAGAATTAAAATCAGAGAGTATCTTTAAGTATTTAGCAAGTAAGTTGTTCTTACTGGCAATTTAATAGCGGCAATACGATTTAGCAAAATTGCGCGTTAGCTAGTTGTAGTAATATTTTACAGTACGGTGTTATAAGTCGTATATAGATAAGGCAACAGTATTGCATTATCCTTTTTCGTGTTTAGATATAATGCCCACAGGAAGATAAAGTTAATTAAAATTAACTTTTTATTCTTTGTTTTTTAATGTATTTAATGACCTTTATTTTTTATGAAAGCCAATTACTGACATTATTTTTCTCTTTACCTTTCATAAGAATGCCTCTTAATGGAAATACATTTTATCCTATGTTACCACTTTATGCCTATTTAGATTATTTTTTCTAACCATTAGAAAATGGAAAACCAATTTTCCTGGGATAATCAACTACATGCTTCTTCGGGAAACCTCGATAACCCCATGACCTTTTCAAATGAAAATCACTCTAACCATCTTGATTCCTCCACCTTTACCTGGAATCAAGACAACCATCCCTCTTGGAGTGTTTCAGAGTCTTATCTTCCAAAGAGAATAAAACTGGAAGATCGATTTAATGGCATTCATGAGAAGACCAATGAGAACAACTTTCAACCATTCTACCTAACCTCATGTTTTCAAAATACAACTGATCCAACCAAAGACTCGTGTGGATTTTCATATCTCCCTCATTCCTACCTGCGTGAGTTATTTATATTTTGAAGTATTTATTAAGACAATATTTGAGTGAAGCTTACTGCTTTAATACCAATAAATCAAAAAATTCAATGGTTTTCCATTTAGTATGGATTTTTTAGAAAATGGTTCCAGGAACGCTCCTCCTAATCCAATTAGGTTAAACCAATTTTAATCCATGCGAAATCTTTAATAAGCGAAGAGAACTTTAATTACTTATCATTACATCCCATCCATTCCTGTGAGCTTCATAAGGCTTAATTTTTTCTTTATTTCACGATAACTTTTATATCTACGCGTTTTAATGTGTTCCTCGTTTTAAGATATGTAGGAATTAAAATTGGTTTGGTAATTAGCTCCATACCACTCTGATTTTTCTAAATCACCAACTCGAAACGACCTTGCTTTTACAATTTCTGCTAGAGTTACTGTTCTGGTTCATATTTCTGGATAAACAAACAAACACATTCAGTGCAGCGTTTTTGCACACAAAAAGAAATTGTAGGAGTAAGAGTAAGATAAATTCCTCCCTCTGGAAAATTTCAATCAACTGGTGTGTAAATTGTAAATATATTATTGATTGTCGACCAATTAGACAGTTTTGTATATGACGAGTTATGTGGATTTACCTTCACTTGCACACTCTGTAGAAACGATACATTTCTGCTACTTGTTGCTAGCTCTAGGCATACATATCCTATGTCTGATTCTCTCCTACTTTTCGCTTTAATCATTAAGTTGTATGAAATTGCTTTATTTGTGGGTTAGACTCCAATTGTAGTCGAAAAATCACCCAATTATCTCCTTGTCCATGTATCACCGATTTTTCTGAGAACGTAAATAATTCATTAATTTGACCGGTCAGGTGATTCAGTTTGTGACATTTAAAGGAGATAATAAGATAATAATAATAAGATATATTTGCAATTCCGGAATGAGGACAAAGCTGTCTGTTTCTTTATCGGTCCTCCAATACTTATTTGTATGGAAACGAGAAGAACACTCATGTCTTATATTTGAAATTAATAGCATTTCTTGAGTTAATAGTAGCTCAGAAAGTAGTATTTAGTTTAATTAATAAAATATGATCCGTTAATTGCTTAATACATTAATGTTTAAAACAGTCCAGTTGTATCTTTATGGAATAAGAAGAGCTTGAACTTATGACCTCAAGTCTTAACGGATACATTATTGTGAAATGAAATTGTGATTGTTCCATACGCAACCACGGTAATCAAATTTTAGATTCTTAGTTTCTTATAGACTTTATCTGATGGTTTTTCTTTAGCTCATTTTGAATGCTTTTGAAAGTATATTTAATTTCGACTTTCTGTTTCTAATTGCTTAAAGAGAGACTCGATTTGAATGATTTTCAAGTTCGATTAGATCGATAAGGCATAAATTGCTTTTAAGGGTGCATGATTTCACCCATTATCACTCATTGGTCCATTTTTATGCGAATTAGCCTTTTAAAACTCTCCATTAACTTCTTAGTAAATTCTTCTTCTTCAACTAGTCACTTTTATCCTAAGAAACTGAGGCAATAGTAAGTGACTGTTACCCCATTCTACCCCTTCAAAGTATCTTATAGTTCTAATTATTGGACCGCTCTTAGGCGCAAGCAATTGATAGGTTGCTGATAATAGTCTTCTCTCCGATTTTCCCAGAAATTCTAGTTAGCATTTCTCCTTTAAGTCAAGAGCATGTGCAAAGGACGCCTGCCCACAATTAACGACACCCGCATTTCAAGTACCAAACCACGATAATAATATCTGAATTCAGTAGTATTTTTCGGGGTCAAAATAATACAGTTCGAAATGTGAGAAATAAATACTCCTTCCACTTCAAGCCAAATGAGAGAATTAATTGTTTTCACTCCTAANCCCCCCCCCCCCCCACCCCTCCGTCTCTCCCTCTCTCTCTACCTCTCTCTCTCTCTCGAAGGAATATATAGCTTAGCTCTGATTTGCATCTCTAATCCCACAGACTTAGGCCAACTGTCTAAGAAAAAGGAAGTCACAGGACGTTTTTTGACTCTTTTATGCCTTCCTTGGGGAGACATATACAAACGAAAACCCCAAATGAATATGCTCACTTATTTTAAAGTTCGGATAATGAGATTTCTTTTGTAATCACAATTAGATTCCCAATTGGAGGTTACTTTCTTCAAGATGGAGAAGAAGTTGCGTGTTAAAATACTTAATTGTACGTGTACGTGTGTGATCTTGGTTCAAAATGGGGTGTTTTCTTAAGTCGGCACTCGAAGCAGCACCAACCACTCAGGCGGAGTTTGGTCGGGAGTGTAGATTTAGGCGGTTAGTAGAATGTGTATGCGCGTGTGTGTGCCTGGCTGGAAAGTTGGGCAGTCGATTGTTACATTACTCCCGGAAGATGTTCATCTCTGAGGTAGGTAGTGGACAGCACAGCCGTGAGCGAGAAAATCACCCCCCCTCAAGCCTCTCCCTCAAAATTGTTGTACCACACCACATCAATGTGTGTTTCGATCTTTCCTCCGTTTTGATCCCAATTAGTTTTTTTTTAATTTTAAGACCCTTTTGCAAATTTTAGCTTGCAATGGTCAACAGCCCTCTGTGACTTCTGAAACATTGGAGGATGTCAAGCCCAAGCAAGCAGTGGATCGATTCTACGAGCAGAATGTGTACCAGCCTCAATTCAACTGCTATAATAACCAGGAAGGAGCGGGATTTCTTGAAGGCATGTTTAATAATTCAAATGCTAGTCAAGAAGTGCCGTATGATACATCTGGTCAATATGGGTTCGATACAGCTTCGGGACATTTCCTGACACCCGTTAGTTTTTTACCACAAAGCAATCAGAGTGAGACAATGTCTATGGATCCTCAAAGCCTGCCTGTATGTCAAAATTTAAAATTAAATCCGCAGCATTCTCATCAAGGTTACACTCACCAGCCGACTCAGCATATTGAACCCCAACCTCCACAACAGCACAGAAGTATGGAAGAGACAGCTTCCAGTAAGTGATATTCAAAACATTAGATAATATGCATCCTCTAAATTTGAAGTCTAATGTGCTGCTATTGGTACATTCCAATCTCTGCTGTTTGGGAAAGGAAATTGTTCGTAAACGCTGAGTCTTTCCTCTCCGTTTCGATTCTCTCTTAATTCCTTTTCTTGGAGTTTAGTTAGGCTAATATTTTCGTTTTCCACCAACTAGGAACCCTTCCTGTTGCCTCCATTGACAAAAAACGTGCCAAATGAATAAGAGGGATAAGTTAAGTTGCTTCAAGTAGATCCCATGTATGCTTCAAAATCTCTGCGTTTTGGATGCCTTTAACCATCCGCAACTTGACTATGATATCAATTTTTTTATAAGTTTTGTTAGTTCACTTTAAAAGTATTATCTATCAGTATTTGCTGAAAAATTTATATGGGAATACTTAGTCATATTATGACACCTATCAACCACAAAAATATCTAAGACTTTATATTTACATTTAATATGACTCACGGCCCATTCAATGCTGCTTAACTCCTATGTAGTAATGATTAAATTAGTATTAGAAAATACTATTTAATTGAAGCGCACATTTTTGGAAATGAGGAAACTCGTTGAAATTAAGTGTTATATCACCAGTTACATTAGTATACTTTCTAACGGTTTCCAGAAGGTCGCGTTACAATGAACTTAGACCACCGAAAGTGAGAATGTTTTCTAAACTATTTCCTCATACTATTTGACAATTGATGATCATGACATCTAAAATCGCCGATTTTCTTCCAAAATTGTGAGATGATCAATTACTAAAGTCAGAACTTTTCCATAACCATTAAGAGAATATGAAAACGAAAACCTCTCAGTTGGGGAAAATAGTAAAAAATTCATTTCCATTGCTAAGGAAAGAATAAAAAAGTAAAATATTGCCCCATAAAATGATCACTTCATCTTTATAACATAAAGAATTAGTAATTTATTTCACGATGGCTAAAAATCTCGAGGAAAAGGCATGATATAGTTAAAGCTAAGAACAGAAACAGCAATTCGAGATAAACAGGCAAATATACCTCATATTTTATTCTCACTTATTTACCCTATCGAAAAGAATAACAGTAGTTGACTCAGTTGGCACATTTCAAAACCTTTATAAACTGTAATAATTCAATGGAGAGTGAAAAAAACCTTCAACTAATCAATCTCTGTAAGCGGGAAGTACATTACTTTGACTTCCTTAGACTAAGCAGTTTGACAGCGATTTGGTGGTCTTTATTTCGGCGAGCACTTCTGCCTTAACGATTCTCTAAGCACATAATTAGAGATTTGCAATGGATTTTCGATTGAAGACTCCAGGGTATCTTTCCTCTATGAATAGCAATGATACATGCTTTGGTAACTGGTAAAATAGCCTGCTCCTCAGTGGATGGTGGTGGTGATTATATTTGTTTTGCTTATTTTCATACCATTAGATCAATCTATTAATGAGTACTTATGTGGTTTGTTAGAATTCGAGCAGGCATTGCAACATGAGCTCAGTGTAGCAAGTCAATTAATGTTGTTTTTAATAAGAACATAGAGGAGACTAGTTTCAAGATTTTGATACCCAAAATAAGACTTTCTCTTTATCTCAAATAGTGATCGGAGCCTTAATAGTAAATGCGCTTTGGTAGCATTTGCTCGAAAGTGCTACGTTCAAGTGAGGCGGCTTTAAAGAATAATGAATCAAAATTTGTACCCGCCTTCCTTCTATGTATCTTTTCTCAAACACGAACGGCAAATATGGTATCTCTAATCACGCTCACATTATCACATTGAATTATGTCAGTATATTTACAGTTAATACAAAATTTACTATTAAACTTTTATGCTTGGCATTAGGATTATTTATTACATTTTTAATAATCAACCAACTACGCTTGCCTATCATTCCTACGTGACATTCAATATAATATAACATATTTGAAAGCTTAAATTGCCAACACTTTAGTGTTTAGCATATTTTAATTCAATTTTGGAACATCCTAAAATAGTTTACTCATTGAAATGCACTTTTGTGCCATCCACGGTGTAAAATTTTAAATAATGTTCATGTCAAAGAATAACTCCTTTCTTAATATTATTAAAAATCAACAGGCCGTTAAAAGGTACACACAACAGGTACCAATATTTACTTTTCACCACAAACTTATGATTCAAAGAGTGATCGAATTAAATTATTCTTGAAACGCTTCGCTAGTCATCTTTCAAATTAAAATGCCTTCGAAAAAAGAGATTAACATTTTATCCCTCATAAATAGTGTGAAATCGATTGTATTACCAATCGGTGTACGCCAATGGCAAGCCAGAGGCCGGTTGTTCGGCGAACCATACCGGTCATGAACAGCGTGATGCAATAAATCTTTCTCAAGAATGCCAACTTCATTCACAAAATACTCTCATTTAGTTAATTCAATAAAGATAAACTATCAATCAAAGACCTGTACTCACCCTAATGACAAAATATTTAACGAAGGAAATGGGGAATAAATTTTTTCTTGTAAATAAGCTAATCGCTTATTATTCAATTTTGATCTACAGGTGGATAGGAGCTTGTAAAGCTGTCCCACTTTTCATACCATTTCCCACAAATAATTCACAATTTATCACCCTTCAAAGAAGCCAAGATGAAGACTTAATTGCGGACAGGCTGATTACACTTGTCCCCTCACCATCTACTATTCTTAAATTTTAAATAATTGTTTTTTTACTTTAATTTCGAAAATCGATTTGTAAATCTTCCCATTGATGTGGGAGATTAACTCCCTAAAGAGAATAATAATTCCCCTTAGTGTAGAGAATTTTCACAAATTTTTGTGCAAATCCATTTTCTTGGGGGTATCACATTTTCTCACATGCATGCGCTTGTGTAGATTTAGGCGCTCTCTCGATTCACACCCTATCCTTGGCAATGGATCTAGAGTTATAATGTGTACAACCGGTTTGTTTAAATTTCTCGTCTCTTCGCTGAGTGATTCTATTTTCTGCTTCTGGGAAGCTAGAGAACTTTTCTCCCTTCCTACATTTCAGTGTAATAAGTTTTTTTGAAAGTATTCATAATGGTATGCAACTTCAGCCTAGGGAGATTATGAAAACTACCAATCTCCTATACCCCGTTACTTTTCTTGACGGTGATTGGCCGAGCCACCCCCTCCAAGAGCTCGCGTATATCCACACACCCCACGCCAGCTGACGCGCACATTAGATGCTGAGATAAGGCATCAACGAATGTCCACTTGCAAACAAGAACAATATAAATTTCGGTGCGCTTCGATAGGTCATATCTTGGTCGAATCATCTGTTCGATGCCAGATTGACCATAAGCACTGAGAGTTGAAAAGTGGGGTTGGGGGGGGGGAGGGGAGTTGGGTAGGGGGGACTAGTTTGAATGGACAATAACCACCCCCTCCCCAACCTGAATTAACTGTTGGGTCTCATCCAATGAAAAGAGGACAGGAGCTATTGTGAGGCAGACCGAAAAGTTTATTTTTGATCAGATAGCATAACGGGAGACAAGGGGAGATTTAGATAATTTGACTGATTTGGAGTTTGAAAACTTCTCCCCTCTCCATACATAATAATATGTATATAAGGAAAAGTGTTCCATTGTATTTAATGAGGACTTTTTTCCTTAAAGTTGCTTTTATGGAACTTGATTAATTAGCCAATAATTTTTTACGGAAATGGGGAGACCTTTAAATGTCATTATCATTAGAGTCGACCTATTTCTCTCAAAATTGGTTTCTAATTCACAGTGGAGTTTAATTTGCCGCACATAACCACAAATTTTATGACCTTTAAAATTGAAATCTTACTGTAATAAAAATATGTCCAGCGATTAAAGAAATTGGAACTTAATATCAACACTTAGACGGGCCACCATGAAGGGCAATTTTTGAGGTCATTTTCTGGAGGTTAATCAAGTCTGATAAACGTCAAGTCCACTAAAGGGACTTTAAAAGAAGTTTAAATAGCTTTTTTTTTAAAATACATTATAATCCACAAAGTGTCAAAAATGTGCGATTTCAGCGTATAATGCAAGTGAAATGATTGCCATTATGGCGAGCAAAACGACTTTTGAGTAAGGTCCTAATTTGACTTACTGTATAATTTGCATTTATTCATTAAAGAAGCATATGAAACCTTTTAGCAGTAGAAAGTATCTATTCATTTTCACACTGTTTCTGATGACAAGTTGAATTGTGGTTTCATCACCTTTAGTGGATTTGGTGATGCGGCAAATTAGTGTACATCTCTTTGTATAAATTTGCTTTTAAAATAAAAGTTTCTGTATTTCTAAACTAAGCGCTAGACCACAGAATTTGCCTAACCCTAAGCGCTATTAGTATCGCTATGAGTTTTGATTGGTTGATTATCATGATGGCATTATCACACCTTCAACTCCCCCCCTTTTTCACGCCTCTACCTTTCCCACACAAAGTCTACGCTGGATTGGTCTAAACTGGCCGCATTGATCTGGCCATTTTTCTAATGGTTGGATTAAAGTTTTCCACCCGAAACTTTTAAGCGTTAAGTTTTAATGATACCCAGATCGACGTGATTGAACATTTCTATACATTTTTTCAACTGAATATTAGTTTACGGGATTTTTAAACGGATGATGAGTGATAAACTGATATGATCGAAGTCATTCTTGTTAGATATAAACTCTATTTCCAACTTCTCAGATTAAAGACCCTGACAAAATAATGTCAACTGATCAACAATTTTACGGGAATCCTCTTTTTAAATATATTTCTACAAGCATTTCTGACTTCGTGTAATATGAAAAATTTTTGTTAAAGACCCATTTATGAAATAAACGATCGGCAGAAAAGCCGTTTACGAATTTTATGCTCAGATAAGTTCCGCCAACAGGTATATAACCGTTTGATTATCTTCCAATAAGTACTACTTAACAAGCTCATAAATCGAGTTTATTGAAAATCAATTATAGCTATTGGTTGGATTGTACAAATCCATCAGAATAGCTTGAAAGAAGGTCTATGTTATCTACCAATATTTACCTCTTATTGTACAACGGAAATGGTAGTTGCCGTGACTGTGTGTTGCGTCAGTGGACTTCGAACACGTGTAAGTAGGACGCGGAGGCGACCGGGATTTGGCACGGTAGTCCCAGGATAGTAGTATGGCATATATATATTAATAAAACGAACGACAGGTGATTTGGTGTAGTCAGCTAGTCATTACACGCACTGCTTGCTGATCTACTTTACGGACAGCAGATAATAAAGTAGCCTCATTGTGCGGACGAGTACACGAGCCTTTTGCGGTGGCGCCATTGCATAACCAGATGACGATGGTGCTTCCTTCTCGTTTACCCCCCCCCCCCGGGACTCTCCTTCCCCTCCTCATCTTTTACCTCTATTGACGTTTTATTTTTTATGAACATTAACAAAATGCCTCTATTAAGACAGACAGCACTAGACCGATTCTCTTTTCAAAACATGCCGCAATTTATGGCTCCTAATTTATCTCCTGATTAGATATGACAATCCATGTCTATCTCCATTTCTTGTTATGATAATGCAATTCTTTAACTTCACGCTGGAGTGGCCTTTTCACTTAAATCGGGAAGATTTTCAGTTCTTCCCTAATTCTTTAGAGACTACTTTGGTATGGAGAACAAATGTGACCGACTGCGAATAATTCTAATTGACTGAATGATTTTTCATAAGATGGCTTTACATAAATCGCGTTCGGGTTCTAGAAAAGGTCAATTATTCTTTGCGGAGCTCCTACTGGCCTAGGCGTCTGATTGTCAATGTTTAAACCGCATTTTTTAGAGGAGAAATCAAAACAAGAACTCACTTTATGGGATTCGTTTCCTACGGATGTTAAGTAGATCCCTTTGATATTACTCAAGTTCTTATTTAACACACCTCTTTCAAATGTGTTAACCTCAGAAAGAAGATATTTAAATAATGTCTAAGCCCTAAGCGTAGTTGGTTGCTTTGAAAGAAATCAGTTCTCCCTTTTAATTTTTACAGAAATATGGTTACTATTCCTTCGGTCTCTACAAACATTGATATTATAACAAAATCTTATGACTTTATTCCCTAAACAGCAGAAGTGGATAACACTTAATAGGTGTTCATTGAGAGTTAATTCTAATTAAATTGACCTCATCTGAGTAAAGATAAGCCCAGCTGCCGGAGGTCAGAACTAGTATACTCATTTTTACCGGAATGATTCCCCACCCCTAAGATAGTTTTTATTATTTTATGATCGTCTAGGCCATTTTCACACGTGTAAATGGCAATTTGGGGCCATTTTTTTACGACTGTTGAATCTGTTGGGAAGTGAGTGGGGGGTGGGGTGGGCGTATGATCAATCTCAGCGTGGGTGTGGGGGGGGGGAAGGGGGAAGAAGAGTGGTGAACTCAAATGTTTATGGCCTGTGTTCTCTGAACGTTAACCAAATGTAGGCAATGGTGATTAGTTGATTTAAGACCATGGCTAGGTTAAATCAACTTATTTGAGTACGATAAGCGAATTATGTTTCATGAAGGAATGTGTATCTTCAAAGCCTTTTAAAGGTAAACAAATTTTGAAATTAAAATGACATTCTAGTGATCTCTTGAATTCTCCCACCACCTCCTGGAAATAAAATTTCAGTTACCAAGAATGAGGGTTTTACATCGAGGGGAATCAATGAGAAACATTTCGCTTTCTCAAGTCGTAAATCCCTAAATCATAATCTAGGTGACTGTTGGGTTTTAATAACCGAGTCTGTTATTTCATTTTAGGCTATTAGAATGGATATCCGTTTCTAGATCGTATAAACTCGTTTGAAGTGACATCTCCAAGCGAAAGCATTCTTGAGTTAAATAAATTAACCATTCGAATAATAATAAGTAGCAAATACTTTTAATGGAGTTTGAGTTCCTTGACCGGGAGGAGGTTAAACAGCTTGAAACTGCGCCGATTCGGGTTCAGGCCTTAGCAACAGGATCCTGGCAATGAACTCTCATGATACTTTTTACGCAGTAAACGAACTATCTTTTGTCCTCTAATACCAGAAAAAAGGTGACGGAAGCATTAATGAGAAACATTTTAAGGCCAATGATCAGCTAAAGTAAATATGTACAAATTTGATGTCAAGACATTCTCATAACCAGAATTCTATCGCTTCTGCTAAACTATTTAAATATTCTAAAGGCAGTTGGGGTATCATCCTAATTTATCGAAAATTCTTGTATTAACCCCTCATGACGATTGAATTCCCTGGAATATTCATTAAAGCTTTGAATGGGGACGGTTTATTGACATTTTTATGCTTACTTACATCCATAGCATGTAATTATGCAGCCTATTTTGAACTTCTCAACTCAAACATAAAGACGATTCTCAAGTTTAAAATCTGCAATTTTTGATGCACATAAAGTTGAACTGTGAGAAATTCCACAAAAATTTGGAATATGAACAATTTTGGATTAAATTGCCCGAGAAATTCATGATTATTTTTCTCTGGTAAATAACTAAACTCAACAACTCTACAAGATTCTGTGAAAAATCAATAAGTTATGTACTGTTTTGAGTGCTTTTATCACTGGACCAAAGGGGGCGTGTATGTTAAAGTGCATTCGAATTTTCCATCGATTTTTAGGTCATTCGTCAGATGTCAAGCGGCTACATTTGATTTCAACTCAAATTACATGAGACCATGATGAAAAATATCAAATTGCATCATAGTGCAGATTGTGAGTAAAACCCTGGGGCATGTTCAAAGAGTTCACTGTAGATTATGAATGCCAAAATGTTGCAGGCTGAAGTTGCTTTCGTTTGCTCTTTCTCCAGACGTCTGCTTAAAAGGTAGATAATTAACCCATTCATTGTTCGCTTTGGATAATATTTTAATGGGCAGATGGAGGAATAATATCTAAGTTTCTAATAATTGTTGCTTAAAAGATCTCTTCAAAGGCTTTCAAATAAATAAGTGATCTGACATTTTCCCTTGAATTGTAGTGTCATCAAACAGTTCCGTGACTGGTAATGGCGCAATAACAACATCTGCTTACTTCTGGCAATACAACGCTCAATGCAAGGGTCCTAAAGCTGTTCGACTGATAAATGGAGGAGCGAATTCCCCTCCTTCAACATCCACGTCCCCTCCCAGCAGCTGTTACGATGGCAACAGTAGTCTAGGAATAAGTGGGGTAGGAAATTGCTCAATAGCCGCTCATTCACTACCACAATACCCTCTCGTAGTCTTCGAAGATCCTGTTCAAAAACGCAATGACCTTGTTCACTGCTCAAAGCTACGACGAGGGGACGGAAATGACGTCACACCCAATATTCTTCGACTTAGATCAATGGGGGATGAGTTGGACCGGCTTGCAGCGCAGATCACTCGACAAGGCGAAATCATAATGGCTGGCGGAAGCAGTGCAGGCAGTGTTAATTCAGGGGGAACTGATCTAAGCGGTCTCCTTCAAAGTAATTCGGGGTACGATATGGATTCAGTTGCTCCGCCATCTTGGAGGGTTGAAGAGGCCAAAAGGGAGAAGAACAAACTCGCAAGCAAGTGAGTATCCCGAGTGTTAATACGATAGGCTTTAGTGCGAAGAAACTTTCTCATTCTCTTAAAGAGGAATTTCGGACACTACTTTACGATCCAACTTACAATCAATTTACATTTAGATCGAAGGCAGTTCTTGAACAGTAGCGATCTTTGGTCCTTATCCAATTCTTATTAACTTTAGATTTTGCCATTAGAACAGGAAAAAAACGAAATTTTGCTGATTTCGTTTCAAAATATCCTTTTATGAAGTACATCAATCATAGGTATTGACATAGAGCCATTGTTCTTCATCTATAACTTAAACACTTTGATATTTTATAAAATTTGGATTTTGAGTGGATTAAATTTTTCTGAGTTCGTCTTAAGCAGTGAACAAATTGTACAAACTGCAATTAAAATGAAATGAAAGATTTGTCATTAATTTGAATCAACTGGTTGAATAATTAATTTACGTTTAAATTGCGAATTTACATAACTTACAGTTATTACTATTTCGGTTATTCTACGTAGTTATTTTTTAGTTAGTCTTCCAAATGGTTTTTATGCTTTTTATAAAATATTTTAATTAATTTGATTAAGAAAATGTCTCGAGATTTCAAAAAAAACTTATGAGCTAAATTGCAATAGTTGTGAAGTTTGGGAAAAGAACATTATAGTACTAATAAGAGGAACCGAATGAAATGTATATATATGCTCTGTTTCATTTCAGAATTTGTCGACTAAAGAAGAAGGCGTTCCACGAGTCAAATAAGATCAAATACACCGGACTTGGGCTGGAATATAGTAAGTAAACAATATTATTATAGCACAGTGCAAGGCAAAATAATTGACGGGTTTTCATTATGAAAGGACAATTAAAAGTGCTTAATGCCGATTAAAGGAAGGTGTTTGAAAAGATGTTGCAAGAGTAACGTTAAGGTATCATTTGAGTTGTGGAATGAGTCGTTTAACTCAACAGGCACATCCCATTCACTACTTGATTAGTTACTGAGTAAAATAATGTCCACGAAATTCAGCGTTTATTGAACGATCATTTAATTAATTTGGTTTGGTTTTACCATTTCCATAAACATGTTATGTGATCTTAAGCAGTTGAAGTATTAGAGCTGAAATAGGTGAACTGATTTCAAGTGGCGTTATTCTTCAAAGTCGGTCCAGATCTTGAGATCGAGTGGCGGTTTGTGCTGTAGCTGATATTAGCTAATCAGACAGAATATTAAGAAACTACACTAGAAGCCCCGTGAGTTATGCAGTCCGTCATATGCTAGTGCAACACTTAATTACCATATGCGTGCTACTTTTATTAGGAGGAGGATATTTATGTCACACCTGTGAATGCGCGTTCAGATCTTTTGCCGCGTTTGCGCATACTCCTATTTCACCTCTTTAAAGCACCACCAGATGTCTCTTATGGTAAAAGATACCCCATTAATCAAAAGATTTTTCTCCGTCCAGATAATCTTCTTTTCATTTCGACTTAAAAATCAAAGCTGTGGATAACGAGAGAGAGGGAGAAGCAAGGAATGTCATGTCGTACTTAGCCGTGATTTACATAATCCACAAGGCCAAGCTTTTGTTTTCTGTGCTTAATTGAAAGCGCCACTACCAGCGCCAATCTCTGATAAGACAGAAGGAAAAAGAACGGAGAGGAGGGGGGGGGGGAGAGGGAAGAGAGGGGTACAAAGGAGGGAGGGTGGTCTGAAATGGTCAGTTTTGATCTCCAACCAGATATCTTTGTCTTTCAAACACAATCAGTTTTGCTGCTACTCGGAGTTCGAATAAAACACCACTCCCCCCCCCTTCCCTGTGTCTAATCACATAAAAATTAATGAGAGAGAGAGAGGGAGTTGAAGGGAGGGGAATTGAATAGAGTACTCAAGTTCTGTCCCAAAATCTGATTATCAGTTGTTTGAAATCCCCTGATTGGTTGAAAGTGGTGACAGCAGGCAAATGCTTGAAGAGGAGAGGGGGCGTTAGTTGAAGGGACATTAAGACCGCTGTTATTACTTTATCTGATTTTCGCTCGATATGGCTGGTTAGGCGTTCGACTAGAATATATCTATTGTGTTCGTGTTCCTTTCAAATTTAATGGGCAAATCCAGCCATTCAAACTCACGAAGCGGGAATGTCCTAACATGCTTCATGAATTCATATAAGTATATTCGTTATTTCCTCATGATTTAATTCGTTTCGCTATTAATGACAAAATTCGTTTACTAGAAGAATTTTCGCATAATTACGTTATTGGTAATAACAACAATATATCTTCCAGAGGAACTCGCGAGTTTGATTACGAGTTTAAAGAAAATGTTCGCGCAACGAGTTAGCCCCTCACTTGCAAGATTGCTTCAGCAGCCTCAGCAAGATAAAACTTCGTCAAATGGCTCAAGCGGTGATGCTGAGAAGTCAACTTGTATGGATGTCGAACAGAATGATACTTTGTATGCTCGTGCTAAGTGGCTGATATCAACAACACATGGTAATATCAAGCCTACTTAATATTTATAAGTAGCGAATAAATTAATATTAGGTTTTGCTATTTTCAGTTACGTGTGTGGCTGGACGAATGGACGCGTTTGTTGAAGAGGTTTTAAATTTAGCCAAAGTAAATCACGCAAAACATCCATTGATTAAGCGACTTTCGAGTGGATGTAACAACACGCCAGCTATTAGTAGTACTCACAGGGAACTACCAACATCACAAAGCGCACCGAAATTTTCTCCTGTTGAAACACCAATGAATCACGTAACTCAAGAAACAACAGAACATGCATTCGCCTATTCAACTCCAGGGATGTATGATTACACTCAGCGTCCGGGATTTCCATCTGCTCTGGATCTATCAAGTATGCTCCGCTCTGGGGTGGAATATCATCAATCTAATTACGATGGAAACAGACCATCTGAATGGGGAGAATATAATACCTCAGGTGCTTATAATGAATCAGCAGTGACAGAAGACCCAACATACGAAGCAACTGCATACTTGAACGCTTACCCTCAGCAAGTAGGACCAGTAACCTATGCACCGCAATTCTACGATAATACTAACCCTCAGACGATGAATGGATATCAGACTCTCCAGCAGATACCAGGGAAAATGACTGGTCAAGAGGTTTCTAATCTCCCAGTTTCAACAGATGTCTCAAATACTGATAGCGGCATTGGCGTACTCTGTCCACAACGATTGTCTCTAATTACATAAATTGTAAGTAAGCTTAAAAGGTTACAATTTCTTTTATTTGTGCGTGAAAACTGAAATACTTTTCCATTTTAGTTCTAAATGAATAATCATTCTCAGTCATGTTTTTCACTTACGAAACCCCTCTGACCCCCATCTTTTTTGGAGTGTAATTTTTAACCTGTCTTTCAATGATTGAGAAGATTAAAGGGTGGTAGACTTGCAAGCTGACACAATTACCTGGTCCTTAACATCTTGATGCATTTATTCTTCAATCGCAAACTGCACACCAAGCACAACAACACACAAAACCAAAACTAAATCATGACAGTCCACAAGCGATCCAACAATTTCCCATCTCACTAACCTTTTTCTCATCATTGTTCCTCTGTTTATTTTTTCATGTAATGCGGATACACTTCATTTGTGGATACCAGCAATGATCTATGTATGATAGCAATAATCATCGAAATCACATAAAACATGACCATTCTTATGATGAACTGAGCACTTGAATCAAACTCAAATTACTTCACATTAAGTACGAAAAATTCATTGACACTCCTCCACATATACACTAATCTCTGTCTTTTCCTCCCTTGATACACATTCAGCGTAATAATTATCTCTTTTTTCACTCTTTTCAATGTCTTGGCTGTAATTATACACAAATTAATAACTGTGATTTAATACCCACTTGATTATGAATAGTGTCTGGTCTCGCAAACTCCGAACATACTGGAATGCAGATTGACGAATGAATGACCTAAAAGTTCGCGCAAACTACTGCTAGATGGAATGTGTATAGAATTTACCCACTGCTCGAATAAGATATGGCAACTCAAGGTCACACAATAGTCAGCATGTAGCCAACTGTTACCGATACTCCCAATTCTCAGAACAAGAATGTTGAGTTGAGAGTGAATAAGAATAAATTGAATATTGCAGATCTCGATTTGGTGAAAGTCATGAAGAGAGATAGGGAAGAAGAGGAACAATAAAAAGGCCATAAACGCCAAGAGTAGAGAATTCGCACTGCTTGCAGTGAAATCATAATTAATCCATGGGGTTGGGGTGGGGGGAGTCACAACGAGGTAGAAGAAGAATCATGAACTAATATTCTGTGACTGCCATTTCGCCGAAGAGGAGTTCGGGGAGAATGAATGTGGAGATCAGGCCCAGTTTAAGCCGCATTAAAACGCATGATTTTGCATAAGTCTAATTCAAATAAACAATTAGCTCAAAAATAATTTAGGAGGCAAAATCAATTTTAAAGTTTTCAAAATTATTTGAAGACAATTTATCAAAAAACATTAATAGAATAAAGAATCTAATACAATACAAAATGAAATGAAATTAAAAAATTATAGCCTGAGTAGAACCGAACTTCCTAGAAAATGTCGGAGACTTTAAGGATCGATGAGAGAGCGAGGCTGATAGATGGTGTAGTTATCTTATTGGCTAAATTCAAATCCATTAGATGAAAAAAAACAAAATGAAAAACTTAATAAAAGAAGTTATTTGGATAAAAACGTAAAAAATCAAAGCTTCTGGGAGTAAGTGGTTGTTCATCCAGCAACAATCGTTAAAGTAGCTGATATTCTATTCTCTCGGTTAGTTTACATAAAACGCCTATGAGATTCCAAGATTTTGTTAAGTATGCTATTTTCAATCCGTTCTATTTAAATTCTTAAGATAGACCAAACTGGCATAAAAAGCATTTCTATTTCAAATAATACTTCAGAACGTCAGAATATAACGCAGATTTAAATTTTGGAGAGCTGGTTGGGGTCCAGACAATGCGTCTCAGTTCATTCACTAATCAGGACAGACTAACGAATGTGGGCAGATATCTTGCTTCCATAGGTGTTGTGTTTACAACCTTTTAGAGATTGGTTGATGCAGGGATTTATTTATTTATATCAAATGACAGGAGTTGTGATAGTTATCATTAGCCCTAGTTTTAACGAGTACCCGATAACTTATCAGATGCTTTGAAGAAGAATTTGTGGGGGACTGCTCAGTGCTTTTTAATCAAAGCTTCGTTGGAAAAAGCCTCAAGAGGTTTTTGGTGAATATGACCATATAAGCAAAAATTTCGGAGAAATTTTTATTCGTTTTCCATAATCATATGAAATATTAATTGTCAATCCAAGAATTAAGCATATACTGATATTTCAAGCCAAATGGTGTTCATAAAGTGATTATGGCTTTAACTATTCGAAATATACAGGGAAATACGTCCTATTTAGCAAAAGGTCCATTTGAAAACCTAATCATGTAATCTACCTCACAGAGTAAAGCGATCAGAAAATTTTATTTTAACCGTAATTTGCTTGTCGATTGCAGTTTAGATCGGCTTATGAATCCTGTCGTTTTTTTATTTCTGATCTTTAGGCCTTTTTCACAAATGGGAATCTGCGTTGAGCGAGGGCACACATTTGAGGGAATGCGCCCCCAGCATTAATAAATATCATTGCTAATCCGAGTAGAGACTTCTTTGTAGCGGATTGCTACCTTAGTAAAGCCTGACTGACTCAGAAATCTCTATGACAGATTCTCCTACATCTAGATAGACTCCCAGAACCAGCTAAGCTATAGCCCAGCTATAAAGGAAAGAGACGTGTAGCATGGACCACGCCTATTCAGTGAGTATATTGCGGATAAAGTGTACACGTAGGGGGCATAATTATGGTCAGGATAGGGGATTAGGTTAAACAGAGGTTGATGATTGGTCACTGTTTGTACGGTCGCTGCACACAGAGTTGTACGGCCGCACCTCCCAATCCTGGCGAGCAGACATGCAGGCATACGAGACGTACAAAGCGATAACGTGTCCTACATCTTCATGATCCTCTGTCTGCATGTTCAGAGTATTCTTACAAGCACACTCCTTTCTCAAACTACTAATAAAGATGCTTAAATTCTACCCACACGATCACCAATCTGCCAAGATTGCCGTCTTTCTCATGTTTGAAGTAAAAATAGGCAAAATGGATTGTGGGAGATGGGATGGTATCCATCTAGGCTGGCACGATAATTAGAATTTCTCATTTTTCTAACTCTTCTGATAAAAATAGATTTTTAGGCCAAAACTGAATTATATCTTTCGTTCGGTAATCTGAAAATCCGTAACAAATTTATGAGAACTTAAATGTTTAACGACAAAGTTTTGGCTATTTACAATAGGCATTGACCAATGATTGTGCAAATGACGCATGCCAGAATATCCAAGGTATATTCAGTTCACTGATCCTAAAGTTTTTCGTTCTCATTTTAAGCTAATGTAAATTTTTTCGGCTGAAAAATATGCTGACTCAATTATTTGCTAATGTAAATAACAGTAACATTTGAGTGATATAGGTACAATTCAAACTAAAGAGATTGGTAGTCATAAATATAATATTTGCGATGATATTTACGATGCCATATGTAATGTTTTAATATAATCGACAAAATTTATGCTTTTTGATTCTTAATTAATGATAACAAAATTTATATAAAGTCCAACGACTGTCGTAATATATTGATAACAACGATTAACTCCGTCACAACATGCGGATGGCAAAACACCTTGAAACATGCGAGACAAAACAAGTACTTGAGTTGTATTTGTCAACAGTATAGTGAAATTTCACATCAGTACAAACCTTGGTTTATGATAATGTCCAAAGGTGTTCACTTAGATCCAAGAACAGTAAATTATAAACAGCTTATAATATTATTCCTAAGTTAGATTTTTAATATGGAAACACATTGCAATACGCCAGAATTGAAAGATTCGCGTTATGTAGGCAGTCCCATGATTAAACTCATTAATCTGTCAGTTGGTATTTGGTGGTATTTTCATTTCAGGAGAACCTTTCTTTTAATATGTAGCGGATTGCTACACAAGTTATGTATATTGTTTTGTAGACTTGTAGCGGATTGCTCCCTAAGTCTCGAACATGTAGCGGATTGCTACCTTCGTAAAGCCTTGGTTAAAGACTTGTAGCGGATTGCTACCTTAGTAAAGCCAGACCGGTTGAGAATTGTAACGGATTGCTACCTTAGTAAAGCCTGACCGGATTGCATTGTAGCGGATTGCTACGCTAGTAAAGCCTGACCGAAATCTCTATGGCAGATTCTCCAACACCTAGCTAGACTCCCAGAACAGCTAAGCTATAGCTCCACGGATTGCTACGCTAGTAAAGCCTGACTGACTCAGAAATATTGCTACTCTAGTAAAGCCTGACTAACTCAGAAATCTCTGGCTACGCTAGTAAAGCCTGACTGACTCAGAAATCTCAATGGGAGATCCTCCTACATCTAGCTAGACTCCCAGAACCAGCTAAACACCTTAGTAAAGCCTGACTGACTCAGAAATCTCGATGGCAAGATAGTCTCTATGGCAGATTCTCCAACATCTAGCTAGACTCCCGAGAAATCTCTGGCAGATTCTCCTACATCTAGCTAGACTCCCGAACTAGCTAAGCTATAGCCCAGCTATAAAGAAAACAGACGTATAATTCAGCTAAGCTATAGCCCAGCTATAAAGGAAACAGACGTGTTGCCTATAGCCCAGCTATAAAGGAAACAGACGTGTAGCATGGACCACGTTTATTCAGTGAGTATATTGTGGATCCAGTGTACACGCAGGGAGCTACTCATGATCAGGATGGGGGAATAGGTTAAACAGAGGTTGATGATTGGTCACTGTTTGTACGGTCGCTGCACACAGAGTTGTACGGCCGCACCTCCCAATCCTGGCGAGCAGACATGCAGGCATACGATGACGCACAGAGCGATAACATGTCCCACACATACATGTTGTGCGAGTTAACCTATGAGATCTCGTCCGGGTTCTACTTTAAGTTCTCACAGGGGCCAAAACGCGATTCAATAGAATGTATTATTAATGCCATTTAAATGAAGGCAAATCTTTAACCATGATAACAAATCTAATGCTTTCTGTAATCACAAGCCAACTCCTGGGTTGGTTTCTCCTACCTCTATCCCCAGCGGAACTTTGTGAGAAGTAAATG